AAGCCTTTTAGTGAAAACACTAAACTGAGTCATCATAGTTCGAAGTGTGGAGGGATATTACTTACTTAAGGTTTGGACTTAAGCGAAAATATCTATGTGACTCTTGTAAAATAATCAACAAAAGATACAACTCATCTAGTCCATGAGATATTAGGAATGTTGGATGATCCCCAAATATCACTATAAGTTAGAACGAAAGGAGTTAGACTTCCTGTATTCGTGATAAAAAGATTATTTGTTTGTGTTTAGTAAGTTCATATACACCACAATAAAAATTGTCACCATTTAGTCCTTTAAATAAAGAGGACAACATAATCTTAAGTGTGGAAAATGAAGGGTGTCCAAGTCTTTATTGGTAGTGGTACTAGGGAGAAAGGAGAGAGTTAATCCAGGTGTCTCCAAGAAGTATAATTTATCCCTTACCTTAGCATCTGCAATAATCATCCCAAAATCCTGGTTATGAAAGTACATAGTGAGAAGGGAAGAAAGTTACTTGACAATTTAAATCCTGAGGCAGTTTAGTTATCAAAACCAGATTTGTGCAAAGCCATGGGATATAAAATACATTCTTAAGAGTAAAGGTGAGACTAATCTTGATATTATGAACTCCTATTACAATGGTTATTTTTATGCTAATGAGAAAAGGAACATATGTACTAAAATGGTGTGAGGAATGTGTCACATAATCAGTGACTCCTAAGGCTATAATCCATGAATGTGCAAATAGTCTATCTGATATATTTAAAACATTTGAAAAAGGTTACTTACTTGAATCAGCCAATAATGGTACATTTAGTTTTTTTTTTTAAGATAAGGAAATCTTTTAGCCTCTCAATATCTTCTTGGCTGAATTGTCCGGATTGTGAAATTGTTTCGAATATGGTAGCAAGTAGTTCAGTGCAATAATCGCAAACTATAAAGACTGACAGTGTAGCTCGGCATGGCTGACGGCAATTCGCATGGTAGGGCACTGGAGCTGGGTGTGAAAGAAGCTTTAGACAGAACACACTGCAGGGACAGTGCAGCAGAGCAGGTCAGCAGGTTAGCAGATTAGATGCAGCAGGAGATAGAGCTATGCACGGCTTGGTGGTGGTAGGAACTCACGCGACTGATATAGAGCTGACTAGCAGAGCCTTCTGGGCCCTGGCGGGAACTGTGCGCAGCTGAACATGGCTGATCACTGGCAGTAAAGCAGGCAGCTATGACAGTTGAGTTAAGCAGGGTGGCACAGCTGGAGAAGGTGGCATGATCAGTGTCTATAGCAAGTGCAAACTCAGCTATAAAGGGTGGTTGTTGGGATTGCCGACTCTGAAGGCTAGTGATGGATTTAAGGCTTTTTCTTTTTCTGTTCCAGCAATAAAGGCCTATTAGGGTTTATAAAAAGACTATGATATTTTTTGTATGAATCTGACATACGTGGGAGAATAGAATGTTACGATATTATTGAATGATTTATATATATGCAATTCTAAGTATAGAAAAGGAAATGCTAAAAATTAATTACATGGGGTATACTTTTACTAATACGCCATTCTATACAATAATTACAAATATACACTTTCTAACAGTTTTATCCATTAAATATGAGCAACTTCTCTTGCAAATTATTTGCTGCACTTAAGTTTATTTCACTGTGTATGCTCTTGCTTATTTTATTAAAGGTCCGACTTACTTTAAGCATGCCTTTGTTTCTGTGCACTGTTTGATGAATATTTCTTCATTCAAATGATTAAGTTGTTATTTGACGCCTGCAAGTTTCTTTCACAGTATGCAATCCAGCTTATGTTATTGAAGGTCCAACATTACTAAGAATGCCCTTGTTTTCTATGCTGTCTTTTATTAGTATTTCTTCATTCAAATGATTAAGAATTTAGTTTTATAGATTGCTGATCATGAAAAGAGACAACGGGAGATCAATATGCAAATCCGTGAACTCCGACAACATAAAACCAACAAGGTGCATGCAGGTCTTCTAGTTATTATGATCTTTTGCGACTACTAGCATACTGGTCTGTTTAGCTTTCTAGTTCTCTTGGGGGGATTTCAATTCAGCTCTCTCAGTGCTAGTTCATCTTTTAAGATTTAGTTGTGTACTGTCATTGTCTAATCAAAGAAATTGTTTTCTTGTTAGGTAACTGCTTTTGGAGGAGAAAGAGTGATTAATCTTTTACGAGTAATCGAGAGACATCATCACAGGTTCTATAGACCGCCCATTGGTCCAATTGGTGCACACTTGGTAAGTGCTACATAAGATTTGTACGCATAACTTGCTGTTGTTTTGATGCATTTTTATTTGCTTGGTGTTTTTGCTTTTTCCATGTGTCCTTTTTTTTTGCGGGAGGCCTCCTAGGAACTCATTTTGACATTGAACAACTCAAGAATAAGATGCTGCATGATCGTCAACTTTGCCCCTTTTGTCTTCATGATAAAGGGAGCCTTTAATCATCTCTTTGTCTGGTGTACAGAGTGGAGAAGGGTATGGAATTTGGCTTTTAGCCAACTGGGCATTCAGTGGATGGTGAGTGGTTTGTCTTACCAAAGTCCTTGCTTGAGAGGGTACTGATGCTTGCAAGAGCAATCATTGCGCTTATCCTCACTCCATTTCTCAGACTATTTGGATAAAAAGAAAGAGGACTTTGAGGGTTATCTAGTTTTTCCTGAAAATGAATTATCAGTGATGCTCTCTTCATCTGAGAAGATCTTCGGTATCTTGACTAATTCTCTTTTCTAATATCCCACTCTCTGGAAAATATCATTGCCATTAAGCCAATTAAGGTGTTGCATCAGGGAATCCATTCGCATCTCCTGAACAAACTGGATTTCAGAGTAATAGATGAGAGAGGGGCGGAGTTAGGTAGTCATATCCCCCAGGAAATACACTCATAGGAAGAAAACAGTACAGATGGGGATTAAGTGTGTAGCGCAAAAACCTGCATGAAGGAGGAGAAAACAACCTAGGAAAAGAGAGTGTCAGATGAGAATTGTTATATGGAATGCTAATGGTTTAGGTAATGAGCTTAAAAGGAAGAAAATAGAAGAGGTGCTGGGGACGATTAATCTTGATATAGTCATGCTCTAAGAAACAAAAAGACAAGAGGTTGAGAGGTTAATCGTTTAGAGTGTGGGGGTACTCGATATAAGAAATGGGGAGCTCTTCCCACTCTAGGAGCTTCAGGAGGAATTTTAATCGCATGGGATACTAGGGTAGACATGTTAGTAGGGATGTTTGCCTTGTATGTTGTGTTGAATATGAAAGGGAAGGGTTGTTGATGGTTAACCTGTGACTACAAACCCACTAGTTATAGAGAGGTGTCATTTTTCTGGGATGAATTATCGTCTTTGCCAGGTCTATGTAATCCTTTATGGTGTATCATGGTGACTTCAACTCCTGTAGCTTTTCTCAGGAAAAAAATCGGAGGATGAAGGAGAATGACCACACCATGCATAATTGTAGTCCTTTCATCGATGACTGTTGCCTGAGAGACTTGCCCTTGTCAAATGCTTAATTCACTTGGACAATTATAGACAGAGAGTTGTTTCCTCTCACTAGATTGTTTTTTGATATCTAAACAATAGCAGGATAGTTTCTTTGATTTGTTGTAGATGGTTCTACCTAGTCCTTTTTAGATTATTTCCCAATTCTTCTTGAGGCTCAAAGGGTAAGTTAGCCCCCAACCATTTTAGGTTCGTAAATGTAACAAAAAAACAATTGGGATTTAAGAATGGGGTTAGAGAAAGGTGGAAGGATGATGATGGTGCAAATTGGGAGAGTTTCAAATTGATGCATAAATTGAAATGTTTGAAAGGCATTATCAAAATTTGGGGTAAAGAGGTGTTTGGGATGTACTCTTAGAGAAAGCAGGGATTTTAGAGTGTTAACTACCATAGTTTATTATTTAATTATTTTAATTTATTATTTAATATTATATAATTAGAATTTCATTAAAATAATAATCTTATATAATTAGAATTTTAGTGAATAAAATTTCTCTATCAATAGGATAGAAATTATATAAATATCCAAGTGTAACAACCTAAAGGATGAGAAATAAAATTATTATTTTTCGCTAAAACTATCATGATATCAGAGACAAAAAAAGTTATTTTAAGGTTCTAATTATAGGGGTACAATAAGCTGGGTTAGTACCCATTTATCCAAATCTACACTTATCACCACCCTAAACAGCGTCAGAGACTCATTACCGGCCTCCTTCCGACTCAGGTTAGAGAGAGAAAGCCATAGAAAAACCGTATGTGATTCTTCCCGTCACCTTCGACCGCCACCTGAAGGAGAAACAGAGGCGGTGGGCGGCAGATCAGACCACAATGTGTGGCAGCAGTGCGGTGACTAGCTAAACTAGAAGCGTTGCACGAGGAGATCTACCCAGACGCGGCCACATGAAGCCTGAAAATGAAATATCGCGGCTGGTTGGAAAAAAATCACGCGACAAGCAATTTGCTTAGATCTGCATGACTGAAGAGGAAGAGGACGAGACGAGCGGCAAGATCTGTGCAGGTTGACGGCCAGAAAACCGAAGAAAGAACGCGCGACTGGCCAGAGAAGACAAACCAGTGTGACGGCGGTCAGATTGCGTGAAGCATGATCTAGGGCGGTTTTTGGTGTCCTCACCAATCCAAACTGGATTTGACGATTCAACGTATTTTATGATGTTTTCGGTGATTTCCAGCAAAGGCAAGTGGTGGTTGGCAGCGGCATGTGGTAGTTCCAGTGAAGGCACGTGGTGGCTCGATGGTAAGGTGTCTGGCAGTGCGTGGCGACGCATGAGAATTCGTGTGGTACTCCGGTGGAGCTGAACCCGAGCCGGTTTAAGAGTCAAGCCCGAGCTATTTTGAGTCGGGTCGAGCTGTTTTCAGACAGGCCGAGCCGTTTTGAGACAAGTCGAGTCGTTTTGAGTCGAGTCGAGCCGAACTGTTGCCTGACAGATTTGATTCCGGTTTGCAGCACCTTTTGGACATCCTTTGGTATTTGATAAACTGCAGGATGACTCTTTAGAGTTTGGTCTGCAAGTTGGGCATGTGTAATATCTCTGCACCAGCTTGAGGAGGGATGTTAACTACTATAGTTTATTATTTAATTATTTTAATTTATTATTTCATATTATGTAATTAAAACTCTATGAGAACAATAATTTTATATAATTAAAATTATAGTAAAATAAGAATTTTTCTTTCAGTAAAATATAAATTGTATAAATACCCAAATGTAATAACTTAAAGGGTGAGAAATAAAATTATTATTTTTTCTCCAAAATCATCATAGAGAAAATGAAAGATCTTAATAAGTTGGAAGCAGAGGGAAACTGGGTCATCTTAAGAATGAGATTTAAGTGGTGGTAACTAATAAGGAAAGAAGCTGGAGACAAAAGACAAAATTAAAATGGGTGAAGGAACGGGATGCTAATACCTGCCTCTTTCATAGGGTGATGAATGGCTGTAAGAGGAACAGTGTCATCAAGGAATAAGAACTCAATAACAACTAAACGGAGAATAGAGGTGAGGTCATGGTAGGGAGATCAATAGGCCTTTTCACAAGCTGTATCTAGAAGAAATTAATCACAGATTGTTTGTTGAAGATATAGAGTTGGCACCAATCCCCTTTGGCAGTGTTGAGAGAATGGAGAGACTTTTGAGGAGGCAATGAGTTTGGGACTTGGATAGCAACCTAGTACCAGACCCCGATGGATTTACTATCGAGTTTGTTAAGGATCACTGGCAGCGTTGAGAGAATGGAGAGACTTTTGAGGAGGCAATGAGTTTGGGACTTGGATAGCAACCTAGCACCAGACCTCAATGGATTTACTATCGAGTTTGTTAAGGATCACTGGCAGTGTTGAGAGAATGGAGAGATTTTTGAGGAGGCAATGAGTTTGGGACTTGGATAGCAACCTAGCACCAGAGCTCGATGGATTTACTATCGAGTTTGTTAAGGATCACTGAGATATCGTGAAAATAGATTAGGTTGAGGTATTCGAGGAATTTTTCATAATGGTAAAATATGTAATAGCATGAATTATACTTCTATCACCCTAATCCTGTAAAACGATGGATTTAGGAAGTTGTCTGATTATAGGCCTATAAGCCTAATGATTAACGTATACAAAATTATAGCAGAGATTTTATGTTTAAGATTGAGCGAATCTCTTGATATTACAATTTTCATTCGTCAGAGTGCTTCTATGGAGACAGACAGATCATTGATGCATTTTTAGTGACTACACCAAGGATCTAAAAGGAAAGGCTTGGTATTAAAAGTAGTTTTTCAAAAGGCATATGATATGGTGAATTTTGAAATTCCTAGATAGGATAATGAAGAGAAAAGGGTTTGAGAATAGATGGAGAAAATTGATCTTAGAATGTTTGACCACTTTCTGTTTTGCTGCGATGGTTAATGGAAAACCACGGAAAATGAGTTTTGGCCTCCAGAGGTTTGAGATAAGGGGATTCATTGTCTCCTTTTTTGTTCACTCTTGTGGTTGATGTTTTGAGTAGAATGCTCTTAGAAGGTGGGAGGAGGTGATGTGTCAAGGGCCTTAGGTAAGGAAGGCTGGGAGGAGGTGATGTGTCAAGGGCTTGAAGGTAGGGAAGGATAAGGCTAAATTGTTACACCTCTAGTTGGAATGTCTTTGCTTGAATCTATGTCTCTCATCAAGTCTTTGGAAGGCCACTTCCCAGGTGTACTCATTTTTCCTACCACATACCCGAATACAAGTGGGAAATTGTCTTTCATCGAGGTTTTGAGAAGACTATTGGTTGGACAATCAATCATTAGCCTCTCAGTTCCCAAGGTTATATATGCTTCTTGAAGACCTCATGCTTACATATTTCACTTCACCACAACATTGGAGGGTTGGACATCTTGGGATTTATATTTCCTTCGGAACCTTTTAGATAAAAAGACCCTTGAAATGTCGACCCTCTTCAATGTGCTAGCATCCATTAACATTTCTACCCAACCTAATAAAAGATTGTGGTACTAGATTTTCTTGTAAATCTCTCTTTGAATACCCCATAAATAATCCCGTCTACCCATTGCTCAATGTTGCTTGGGGATTTTAGAGTGCCCCTGCTCCTTCTAAGGTGAAGCTCTTTGCTTGGACAGTGACTCATCAAAGCCTTAACATGAACGATCTAATTCAAATACAATGTCCTAATCGTGCCTTTTCTCCCAAAACGTTGTTTTATACTTCTGTGGTGATGAAAGTACATGCTCTTGTGTTCCTTCATTATGCGGTGGCTTGGAGGTAGTTGACTGATGTGTTTAAGTTTCTTGGTTGCTATTGCGTTTTGCCTCCTATTGAGGATAGCTTCTTTTGCACTTTTATGAATGGAGATGGGATAAGGAAGGCTGCCAACCTTTTGTGGCAATGGGTCCTCTTTGCAGGTTTTTGGTGCTTATGGCTGGCGCGGAACTCGATTATTTTTAACAACAAGAATGCTCCATATTCTAATTTGTGGGAGCGGATGACCTTTTTGGTTTCCCTATGGGCCAAAAGACATAATTTATTTCCTGATATCTGCATAACTGACCTTTACTGAAGATGAGATATTATCATACACGAGTTATAGCTTTTATGTTTATTGTTTTTTCTCTGCTCATCTTTTTATTTTCCTAGCTATATTCGGTCTTTTCTTTTTCTCTTGTTTGATGAGGAGGTTATCACTTCCTCCTTGATTGTGTTCCTTCTTTCCATTCTCCATGATATCTTCTTCTTTGATAATAAAAAAAATAGTCTCCCACTCCATCTTTTACAGAGCTTGTCGGTGCCTGGCTGATGAGACTTTTTTAGAGGGAAGGGGATAGGTCTTGGGTTTGCTTGTTAGTTTTTTGTTGCACACATTTAGGATTTTCAGCTTTGCATGTGTGGACATTGTCCTCTTCGTTCTGGCATTTGATCATATGTTTTTGCCTCTTCCTAGAAACTCATCATGCAGTTTATTCATCTCTTAACTTTTTGTAGACCTGTTCTAATAAAATGCTGAAAAGAAAAATCCTCAAAGGATACTATTTTCTTTTTCTCTGCATATTAGAATCCAGTATTCTAATCATTTAGCTAGTCGATTTTGCTGGAACCTTCCGTAACATTTGAAGAGGTGATGTTATATTGATATGTAGGTTCTAATTGTAAGAATCGTTTTGTTGGTACTCATGATTATCAGATGTTGGTTAGCTCTCAAGCACTTGAATTTCTTATCCTGCAGAGATTGGTCAATGGAGATACATGGGCTCCTGCTGCCGAACAAGCTATTGGGAAGTTGCTTAATGCTTTTATTGTGACTAATCACAAAGATTCCCTTATTTTGAGAGGATGTGCAAGGGAAGCAAACTATAACCATCTTCAGATTATTATTTATGACTTTTCGAGACCTAGGTAGAAGGATGAACAACTAAGCCTCATTTGCATACTGAACTCATGTTTGACTGATTAGTTTCTATTACAAGTATTTTGTTCATTCTTCTTGGCGTAGGTTGCACATACCGCCAGACATGCTTCCACAAACAAGGCACCCAACTACTCTGTCTGTTTTAAGTTCTGATAACGCTACTGTTATTAATGTCTTGGTGGACATGGTAATTTACTGGTTCATAATATCTTTTATAGTGTTTGTAATATGCTCCATTTTCAGAGAAAAGAAAAAGATTGTTCAAGTTTGCTGTTTGGTATTTGCCTTTGTACTTCATTCAGATGATGGTCTTTCAGAAATTATTGTTGCCTGCTGATGTCTTGCACAATTTTGTCTACTCTTCAGGGTAAAGCAGAGAGACAAGTGCTTGTTAGAGATTATGATGCTGGAAAAGCCGCTGCTTTTGACACCAGAGTCCCAAATTTGAAGGAGGTCTACACTTTAGATGGTTATAGAATGTAAGTTCTTTTTTCTTTGAGAAGAAAAAGATGTATATTTTGATTTAGAAATAAAACAATAAGAGAAATGCTAGTAGATAGAGAAAAAGGAATATAAAATGTGTAGGGTAAAATATCCTCCTGAAAGAAAAAAATGAAAAGAGAAAATGAGAAGGATGAGCAAGCCTTAGAAAAGCATGGTGGCCAACCTCTATGCAAAATACACAGGATAGTCTTTAGAGTAAATTACTAATATAGTCCCTGAAATATGGATTCTTTTGCAATTAAGTACTAAAATTTTTTTCAATACAATTTAATTTTCAGAACTTACAAAATTGTTTCAAACTGTCATTACTTTAATTAAATTTCTTACAGAAACAGACTTTATATATTACCTGGATAACATAAAAAATGATCTAAAAATATAAGAAAATTGTAAAAAATTAAAAAAAAATGGTTATCACACATATACTTTTCTTCCTTAATATCTGCTATTTTAATCTGCATTACTTAAACTAACAAATTAATTGTTCTTTCTTAGTTTATTATGGTCAATTTTTAGTTATCATTTTCAAATTCCCAAAAAGAAAAAGAGTAAAGCGAAAAGAAATTCAGCTTTTTCTGTTAAAGTTTTTAGAGTTGAAAAACATCATGCATTGCAACAATTTTATAACTTTAGGAACCAAATAGTACTAAAAAAGAAAAAATTTAGGACTTCGTTATAAGATGACAAATAGTTGAGGAACTAAAATGATTGTTTGTCATAATCTTTGAAGTGTCAATGCTAGCTGTGACCGCCCCAGTGGGCTTGCTATTGTTCTGGACCAAGGCTAGTTTCAGTACAATGGCCAACAGGGATGTTTTTGGTTCTAGAGACATGAAAATTACTGAGTATTATTAATGGTGACCGTAATTAATCATCAACTTATTGTTGTGTTCAATGTGAAGAGGAAATATTTCATATTAGTAGTGAGAATGACTTGTGGGATGTGTGAGAATTAAGAAGAGGCTGTGATATCAATCATATTAAATTCTATTGGTTCCAGTTGGTGTAGGTTGACTGAGGAATTGTCTGAGCACATCGTTATTGAAAGGAGAGATATATTTGACTGATGTATCGAGTGGCTACAAGGTATTTGCTGACAATGGTCTTTGGAAACGGGGGAGGACATTTTCTTGTGTTGTGATACTGTAATGGACATAGAAGAAGAAATAGAGTCTGCATGCCAAAGGTGAGGGAGGCTTGGCTAGAAAGAGATGTCGGAAGCATTGAATATGGGGAAACTAGTCACAACCTGCATGTAAAAGAAAGAGGGATGGTGCACGGTGGAGAAGACCTGAAAACTCAAGGGATGGTGATAGAAGAAAAGAGAATCACCTCGGGTTGGATGCCGAGAAAATACAGGGTACAATCCAGGTTGGCCTTTGGTGACAGGGCAGTTTTGGGAAACAGAAACAAGTAGGTGGGTCACCAAACTGTGGACTAGGTGCAAGTTGATGGCAGCGACACTGAAGGAGACATATTAGGGCTCCTTTGGTTGGCTAACAGAATCTTTGAGGTGGCTATTGTTATGCCACATGATCTGGGATTTTTTCAATTCCAAAATAAGTTTTGTGGGGAAAAGTAATTAATTGTGTGTATCGATTTTTTCCTTTTGTAACAGATTATGTTTATAGAAGTAGGCTTCTTTAATTAGATGTCTATTACGGTAGATTATCTGATGAAATCTTGGGATCCCAAAACAATTGAGATTCCTTTTATATAGCTAAGTTCGCAGTATATATATGTGTGATGATGTTTGTGTCTTAAATTGGGAAAGGCAGAAGAGGGTGTAGAAATAAAAAAGAAATGTGTCAGTGCCTGGGAAGAAAACTAATTTATCTATCTCATACATGACTAGATAAGCATATGCGGTAACTTTGATCAGTCAGTTTATAGATAGCCCTAAAAGAGTTCATCTATTGGTAGCTCACCAAGTATTGCAGTATCTTAAAGCACACCAGCTAAAAGTATTCTATTCAAAAGGAATGGAGTTCTGTTCTTAAGGCATATACAGATGCTGAGTATGCTGGGTCAATCATTGACAGAATGTCAACCTCTGGGTATCCTTTCTTAGCAGTAATCTGATAACATTGATGAATAGAAAACAGAATGTGGTAGCACGGTCAAGTGTGGAAGCAGAATTTTGAGCAATGGCCCAGGGTGTGTGTGTACTGGGATAAAGATCATTTTATAAGATTTGAAAATTTAGTGGGATGGTTTAAAAAGACTCTATTATGATATAAGTTTGTCATCAACATAGCTCATAATCCTGTACAACACGATTGAATGAAGTATATTGAAGTTGACAAATACTTTACAAAGAAAAATTGAAAAACGAGTTGATTTGTACACCTTGTGTGTCAGGCATGGTCAACTTGCTGATATACTTACCTAAGGATTGAGTTGTCCAGTGCTTTAGAGTATTGTCTTCAAGCTGCAAATATAAAATACCTGTACACCAGCTTGAGGGGAAGTGTGGAAAAAAATAATGAATTGCGTGTACATTTTTTTCCTTTTGTTACAGATTAGATCTCTATAATTAGACTTATTTAGTTAAATGTCTATTACAGTAGAATATCTTATTATCATGGGATCCTAATGTAATTGAATTTCCTCTTCTGTAGCCAGGATTGCAGTATATATATGTGTAATGTTCTGTATTATTCAATAATAAGACATCAAATTCTTCCACAAGTTTGACAGAGGAAATCCTGGAGAATCAGCAGTTCTTTGGAGAATTTACAGTCTTGATACATACTGATTGTTATGGAAAAAGGAAAGTTTGGTGGGTTGTGTGTGATTAAAAATCCCATCAGCATCTACAAGGAGGCTGTTGTTAAAAGGCTAGGAATTATATCCAAGCAGGAAGCCCCAAGTATTTTTTTTTAGGCTAACACTCAACCCACTACAGGAAAATGAATTAAAATCTAAAAGAGGAGGCAGCTAACAAATCAGCCCAAGGACTGAAATTTATGTTTAAAAACGCAGGTAATAAGGCAAAGGCTGGATAAGGATGAGGACAATCAAAATCAAGTTAGCATTGAGTTGGGACGAGAAAACAAAAAGGGTGAACAATCTTCATGAGAGGGCGTTTTGAAGCCTTCTGAAATTACCTTGAGCCAGTAAGCATTCTAACCTGACCATTAATCACAGCTCACTTGTCGGAACTATAAATGAGATGGATCAAGTGGGCAAAGGCACCCTGTCTGTTCCTCAAGCTAACCAGATATCCTGTACTTATCCTGAAGGTCATGAAACAAGAGAACATTAAATAGCACATTTGTCATTAGGCCAGTCCAAGTGACTTCAGATCAAACTTGGATCTAAGTTGGTGGGGAGTCGGGTAAAGAGGTTATATCGATGTATACTGCCATTTCTTTTTTTTTTTTCTTTTCATTTGGTTGGATGATGCCTTATATTTTTTACTCTCTCTCCTTTTTTTTAAATAAATATTTTACTATATTTCTTCACTTGTCTTGTTGGAAAAACTCTCAAATCTAGTGGGTAAGTGTATATTTTAAGTGAAAGGGATATTTGTACATATTAAGGCAAAACTTATAGGATATTTTTGTGTAATTTATACTTTCGTATGTGATGAAACTTGATTGATAGGCATTGAGTTGTAATAAAATGAAAGTATATTATTTTGATTCACTCCACAGAAGTCATATTGGGTAATGAGACAATATTATCGACCCCAGAAAAATTCATAGTTTCTTTTGTTCTGTAATATCTCATATTATTTGTCTCTGAAGGTGATATTTTGTTTTGTTCCTAGGTTTTCTCGTGGCTCAGTTCAGACAATTCTCCCGCCCAATAAGCGGCTAAGAACTAGCGGTCTTTGTAGCTCTTTTGATGGTCAAATAACTGACCTTGAAAGAGATGCATTGAAGGAAGGAGAAGAAGCTCAACAGTTGAAGCAGAAAAAGAGGCAAGCTGAGGAAAAATTCCGAGGTCTTCAAAGTAGTGAACAAAGTGTCAAGGTAAATGCAAGTAGTTTTTTTAATAATATCAAATATGCATGCAATTTAAAGCTAGGCAAAAGGAGAGTTTGGAAGGGTGGATGGAGGTTTAAAGTCATCCATGGTTTTAACGCAGTCAGAAATAAACATTGATTCCTTACCATTTTCTTACTGATTTACTTTCATATTATACATTACACATAATTACCATAACACGAAACTATTTATAATTTTACACATACATGCAAACAATGTAGAAAACATTTTTAACTCTTCATTCTAAAGCTTCCCAGGGGCTGTTACTTCTTCAGCCATTTATATTTTTGTAATATCAAGCAAAATTGCTTGTGACTTCATGGAAGTAGACCATCTACGTACAAGGCACCTAGTTTGTTGGTCACTAAGCTTCTCTTGTATGCCTCAATTTACTCTCGAAAAAACATGTTAAGTGGTTCTTATATGATAATTCTGGTTATTTGTTTTAGTTTGTTCACGACTGATACCAGCAGCCAACATTGCTTTGTTCACCACAACCAGATGTATCATAGCTCTCTCCTACCACGATAATCACATGTCAAGTGGTCCTTACCTAATATATTCTAGGTACTGGTTTCAGCTTGTTCACAAGTGATACCGGAAACAAAGTTTGTCTACCACAACCAGATGCACTATATCAGTGCTCATACTGATTTCCTCCTGCTGAACCTAGGAATACGACGTCCCAAAATAATATTGTGCCTTCCTCGTCTAAAATGACGTCCCAAAATAATATTGAGACGAAGTAGTTCTTACAGCTACCGATGTTATTAACCGCTTGCCCTCTAGCATTCTAGACTTCAAAAGCCTTTTAGAAGCATTCTCCAAATTCTACCCATAAGTGAGTGTCACAAACCGTCTATCCCCTCAGATATTTATGTATATTGCATTCGTTTATATTCATTCCCTTCAAAGACGGAAATAGGATACCTGGATCCTAAAATGTATGTTTGTGAGGTACTCCTCTCAAAAGGGATACAAATGTTACCATCCACTTACACAAATTTTATGTGCCTACATATGTCACATTTGTTAAACAATAATCATATTTCATCCAAATCTATCTTGAAGGGAAGCCTATATTGGAAAATAAGGATACATATTTTTTTAATGACTTAATCCTACCATCTTTGCTACACACTCTCACACCATTACTAAATTACATGAGATCCCATTATCAAAATATAACTTAAACTCACATGAAAGGCCACATGGAAGTTCATGGCAATATGGGAGGTTACATGGAGGCTCACTGCCTCAAGAGGAAGCATATGGAAGCTCACAACTTCATGAGCTTGAAAGGCCACAATTTAGGCCTTGTGAAGCATAGAAGTCACGACAAAGTCCAACCCAAGAAAGATCCTCAAGGTTTGGTCCATTTAAGTGAAAAAATAAAAGATCCAATTCAAAGTCTATATGGGGATAAGCCTATGATGAATTCACTTCAATATGCACTTGGGCGTTATGGAGGAAAGATCACAAGAACATGGGCCAATGAGCTCAAGAGAGACTTTCAAGTTTATGTTAAAAGATGGGTCCATGAAAAAGAGAGTCTCGATCCAAACTTTAAAGGACTTGAAAAGGAAAAGTTGAAGCCATCAAGTCAGGGAAGAGGCATCCAAGAACTTGTCCTACAACAAGGGCAAAGCCGATCCTTAAAGAGTCCTATACGTCAAGGAGTCTCGGCCACTCATTCTCAAAGAGTTTTATCCTCCTCCAACTCATCAAAACCAAGCCAAAAGGTGTCCTCAAAATTATGAACAGTTTTGATTTGCACATTAGAAATTTTCTCGCACTCAAGAGAAATTTTCTCCTAATTTTTCTCATCACAAACGGCCAGCCCTTCACAAGAATTTTCTCCTTTTCCAACTCTTCACAACCAGCCATTTAAGAGTCCTAACACCGAGGGAAGTTTGACCAAATCTCTTCCAAGAAGCCTTCAAACAACCGGCCACCAAGGACTTCTGGGTTTTTCATCCCTACAAACATGGGAGCCGTCCAACTCTTCTTCCAAGAGTCCTAACCAAGTTCTCTCACCCAAAAGTAGGTGGAAAAGTATGTGGAGAATCCAAGGAGAAAATTTTCTCCCACATATTTCTAGCATTCCAAGCTAAAGTGACCCACCTTGTCTACAACTCTAGCCGTCCACTCTTGTCCAAGCTAAAGACTTGGTTTTCAGCTTCAATTTGCATAAGGAGTCTTATCCAAGCACCAAGGCTGAGAGTTGTCTACTCGTTGGAGTAATTACCACATTTGGATTTCAACTTCAAGTGTGATTCAAGAGTCCTTATCCATTACAACCAAAATTTCTAAGATGAAGATCTTGATGGATGGCCACACAAGAATCTTTATAATTTTATTTTTTTATTTATTTTAAAGAGTTTTTATTATGTGAACCATGATCTCTTAAGAGTTTGAGATAATCATGATAGTTAGAGTCCTTGTTACTTTAAGAGTTTTATTTCTTTAAGAAATCTCATGGCCTACATCTATAAATAAGCCTTATATATTGGTTGTAATTTCATTTCACATTCAAGTTCAATAAAGTACAAGCTTTTTGATTTGATTAGCCTTCAGCTTTGAGTGCTTCTTGTGGAGGTTTGTTTCAATTTTCTTGTTGAGTGAAAAATCGGTTCTATTTATCAAGATAACTCTTTTTCCGTTCTATTAATTCTTATTCTTTTTCTCAATTACTTTATTTCTCAATTACTTTATTTCTCAATTATAGATTGATTGTAGGTAAGTATGGAGGGTTTGTTTAGGAGTTAAGTTTTTGTACTAAATTGTATGTGTAGGTTTTTTATTACATTGGTTGTTTCTGGCTTCTGCATCATTTGATATCAGAGCTTAAATTTTAAATAGATCTTATTATCTTGCATACGGTTTTTGCATAGTTGTTATTCTTCATTCGGTTATCATATCTTGCATATCTTGCATCCACCCTTTTATTCATACACATCATAAAACAAAACAAAAAAATATATCACAACATATCCACTTTGTCTTTTCTTGCACTCTAAGTTTCTTGCTTTCATTGTGCTTTCATTCCATTACATCAGTAAGTAGTTAATTGTGTTCTAGTTAGCATCACACATAAACACGCACCCTTTTTATCTGTGTTTAAATTCTGTCACATTACTATGTAAGAAAGAGCTGTATTAGAAAAATTGGTAGTCAAGAAATATTTCTGTATTGTAAGCCTCCCCTCAAGCAGGAGCATATGTATCATATGGCCAAGCTTGTAACAAATGAACTTCACGCAAGCTCCTTTTAAGGATCTTGTTAACATATCAGCCAATCGGTCTAATGGCTTCACATGAGTATTCCAAATCACATTCTATAGAAGTATTTCTCCAATAAAATGGCGGTCAACTTAATAGAGAAAGTTCAGTAAAATAGAAATCAAATTGCCAAATACCAAAAAAAAGTTAGAATACCAAATTACCAATTTTGGAAACCAATACCGAATTAAATTAAAAGCCAAATTAATTCAGTTTGCTTTCAGCTATTACTGAAAAAAATGACTTTTAATTGTTTTACTTTGGTAAATGATGAAATAACTTTGACAACAGTAAAACATAAAAGATAAATTTATTTTTAAATTTTTTGGCCAATTGCTAGGTTATTGCGTATAATTAAATGATTTACCCTAATATTAAATGCTGTTTGCTCAATTATCTATCACATAACATTTAAA